GAGTAATAATATTGCATGAGCCGGCATTCGGGCAACTGTAGCCGTTATTGGGTGGGCCAGTAAATGCCATGATTAGGTGAGGCAATGTCGCACACACTCGCACACAGCTGTGCCCCACCCCACCTGCCACAAATGCCTTTGGGTGTGGGCGTGTTGCTTTTGCCTACCCTCGCAGTGCAGTGCACACTTACATGTGATTAGCATTTCCTGTTTGGTTTGCCAATCTCTGACGCACACAAACACGTGTACATATGGATATGTGCACACCCACACACACACACACACACACACACACACACACACTGGCACTGGCACTGGCAAGGGCATAATTAGACGAGCCAAAAATCAAACGCCATCTGCATTCAAATTCAAATTGAGCCGAGAGTCCAGAGCCCAGAGCCCAGATTCAGATGCAGAGCCACTCCAGCTGTAGTCGCAGCTCCATGTAGACAGATGGAAGCATGACCCGATTCCAGAGCCAACACAGAAAGAACTAAACAAATATCTGTTGGGTCACAGGACCAGCCACCTGCAAATACTCGCAGAACAAACAGGCTACAGCAGAGCTGAGGATGAATGATGATGCGGAATACATTTATGTACTTTCCATTCACTGAGAAAAATCAACCAGCAAAGCATTCAATGGCAATCTTGGGAGGTAGCAGGCCAGGCCAGACCCCAACATGCCCAGGGTCCTGGGTATCCGACTGTCGATCGGCAACGAAAACTCTGTTAAGACAAAGTACTAAATATGGAAACGACACGCCCAGAAACGAGTGCTTCAACCCCAGAAGATACTTTTTGGCTGAACCAGCAGATACTTTAAGCACAATTTGGTAAGCAAAAATCACGGCATACTCTCGGGCAGAAGTGAGAAATTCTGGGGAGCATTAAGTAAAATACGCAGACGGCGAAAAGAGTTGAAAGATCCTTTCTTCCTTATACAAAATCATTAAATTTACATGCGATTCCCAGAGTAAAGAACGCACAAACTTGCCCAATTCGAAGATCTTCAATTGGATAATGTAAAAACCGCATGCACAGGTTGTTTTTTTTGGCTTTTTCGGCAGTGTGTCAGCATCCGCCCTGTGGCACATTTGGGGTACACATGGAAAAGCGGGAAATGTGAAAAATGTGGGGAAATGTGTGTGTGTGTGTGTGTGTGTGTGTTAACCAACAAATCAACCAAACTGACTGACCACAGAGCATGCATTTTATGTGGCTTTTTTGAGTTGTTAACGCCGCCGGACACTGAGCACAGAGCTCACTGTCTCTCACACTCTCATTCCCAGCGACATCCCCATTGCAGGCCTGTTCGTGCCTGGGAGAATCCCCACCTGTGGGGGTTTGGCTGGCTATATAATTGCAGATTTTAATATTTAAGCCGCGACAGCTCTTTATCCCCGGATTTATGCGCATGCATTATAATTTCTGTTCACATTGGCCATTCCATTTCAAATTGCACAGAGAGAGAGGGGGAACGGACAGGCATGGGATGGGGGGCAAAACTTTAATTAGTTTGTCAAATTTGCATGTAAATACGAGAATGCGAGAGCAGGGGAATCGTATATAGATAGTCCTCCCTGTGGATGGCGCTGGAGGTTCTGCTTCTCGTATATTTCACTCTAATGTGTAATGCCTCTTCGACGGAATGCAAAAGTGTTAACCAACTTAACAATAAGTGTAACCTTATGGCCTCCCCATAATCATCCTGGCAGGGCCATCATAAACATCATCAGCATCAGCATCAGCAGTAGTAGGAGTAGAAGCAGGAGTAGAAGCAGGAGCCTGCTCCATTACCGTGGCGGCCATGTGGTGTCGGCTTACACCAGTCGAAAAGGGGTGCGGAGTCCTGCAGTCCATAAACAGACTCCATAACAGCATTCAGGACCCATGGCCCATCCTGCCGCGCTTGTGTGTGTGTGCCATATAAATAAACATAATCGTGAAACAAGGCCAAGGATGGCTCTGGCGGCATGAGGGAGTAGGCAACCCTAAATGCTGCGGAATTTTAATAGTTCACGTAAATGGTTTTTGTGGCGTTGGTAATGTTTATTAACCAACTTAGACTCGACGCAACAGAGAAAAGGACCTTCACGTTATGCTGCTCCACCTCCAGCTGCTGCTGCTGCTGCTGCTGCTGCACTGACAAAAAACCGAGAAAAGCTGCGTAAAACAGATACTTATAAGGAAAGATACTTGGATGCATGTACACAAGTGTGTGTATGTATATTTAATGCCATATTTTAGTTACTTCTTCCCTTTGCTTGTTGCATGGATGTATGGACACTCGAGTATTTGGTATCCTTTTCGCACGGTGTTGGCGTTCCTGCTGCTGGTCCTCCAGTGGAGCGTGTTTAATGCTCACTTAAGTTGCGTTTATACAAATTTCTTCGCCTCTCGACTCTTGCTTTGGTCCGTCCCAGTCTCAGTCCTCGCCTCGGTCCTTCCATTTCCTGCTCCTTGGGCAACTTTTGTTAGTTGGCTCCTTGGGCACCCCCAAAGAAGTCTGTGTGCAGTGGCTTAAGGTACGAGTATGACAGCATCCCAGCATCCCAGCATCCCATCATCCCATCATCCACCCCTCTCTGCCAAGTTGTGCGTAAGTGGATTCATTTATGCCCGAGAATAAATGCTTTGTTGTTTGCATTCCACGAAGTTTTGTGTCTCACGTCTTTGGCACGCTCTCCAGTCGCCTCTGCTTCGCCGTTTGCCTTGGATTTTGCCTTGGAGCTTCAGTCTGTGCTCAGACCAGGACGCAGTCAAGGTGCAGCCACTCAACTGGAAGAGGAATAAGGCAAAAGGGATAATCCCCCACCCAAGTAAAGGCAAAAAAAAAAAACACAGAAACAACCTTTGGGTTGCTTTTCTTTTTGTTCTTTTTTTTTTGGAAATTTTATTCTTCAATCACTTTTCGTTCTCATATCAATTGTGTTATTAGCTACGCAAAAAAAAAATGAGTAAAGAAATGTTGGGGCGTTTTCCTTCACACTTGTGGTATGATCTTATGGGATCGTTCTTACATGGCTATACAACTAACATTAGAGTACATTCCAGTATGTATTATATTATATTTAATATGTATAGTATAGTATTGTGTGTGTGTGTGTGTGTGTGTGGAGTAGATTACTTTTCATAGTGGATGCAACATGCGCAACAGAATTTATACACCTCCAACAATTTGACTAAGCTGCTATCCAAAAAATAATAATAATCAAATATGTGCATATAGTAATTTATATGCATAAAGTACATTGAGTAAAAGTATAGTCAAATAATATAAAAATACACAAGGAATCTGTACAGGTTAAAAAAAAACACATCGAATACAATGCAATCAATGGATGGATGGATGGGAATAGGATAGAATGGGATACACATGGGATGGACACCTTTATCCTTTCATCCATTATCCCAGCTAGTTGTTTGATCCGTTGCTTAGACGGCGTTATGCTTAATTTAAATATAGGTTTTTAGGCCCAATGTTTTTTTTCCCTCTAACAATTTTCCTATTTACAGTTTTACAACTCAAACGTTTGCTCTTGGATTTTTGTTTGTTGTTTGTTGTTTGTTTTGTATTTTGTTCTTGTATTGCTTAGCATTTAGTGATATATACGACTTTGTTTTATTTTGTTTGCGCGCAGAAGGAGAAGGGGTAGGACCTTCCTTGCCTTCGCTTTTTCTTTTTCCTATAAGGTGTGTGGCCCTTTAATTGCCTATACAACAACAATTATATCGATTCTATCCGAATGTGAAAACAAATGTTCATGAAATTCTTCATTTAATTATCAATAAACATCATCAGTCTTGAACTTAGTTTAGGTTTTTTTTCCTTTCCTTTTCTTTTCCTCAATTTCTTCCATTTCTCTTCTCTTAAGTTTTCCATCTGCATTTTCTGCTGCTTCTGTTTTCTGTGGAACTCGTGAAATAGCCTTAAAAAATGTGAGTAAAGTGTGGCAGGACAGGGGGGTCCTTTGTGACGTGTCTTTTGTGTAAAATCTCCAGAGTTGGGGGAAGCGAGTCCCGTGATCCACGGATCCAGGACTGTTGGGTTTCAGGGTGTTGAAGGCACAATTTCAAAAGTGTTTCGCTCCGTTCTCTCTCGCTTCATTACGAGCATATTGTATCTATAACTATAACTAAACTTAGATCTGTGTCTGAGGGACAAAGGAGGGGGCTCTGTAGATGGGGTGTGATGTGTGTTTGTGTGTGGGAGAGGACCCTTTCTATAATACAGAAATACAGATAAAATCGAGCTCGAAAAAAAAAAACAACACACAGAAGCCAGAGGACGGGGGTTCAGGAACGCAAAATCAACATCTAACCATCGAATTTTGTATATCCGATATCCGAATAGATGCGATCGACACGAGTACGAGTGTCTTCCCTTTGTCCTTTCACAGTTTAGACAAAGAACTCCTCGTTACCCAGACTACTGTCGCCACCGGCGGCCTCGACGTACTGCGTTGCCTGCGGCATCCAGGGCCAGGACCAGCCACCGCCATAGCCACCGCCGCCGAGGAGTCCGAATCACCGCTCCGTCGAGTGTGTGGTGGCCCCAAGGCCGCTGCTGCTGCCCGAGCCAGAGCCCAGGCCGCTGCGGCGGAAGAATCCCAGCGTATCGAGGGCCTTAATGGTGCGTCGAATCAGCTCGTCCTTGTACTTCCAGATGGTCTTGTCCTCCACCGAATTCTCGCGATACTCCTCGCAGCTCTTCTTCAGCGTCTTGACACAATCGGCGCGATAGTGCTGAAGCTGGGCGTCCTGCGTATCCACGGGATAGGACTTGCAGACGCCGCCGAGGCAGCTAAGCGGGAAATGATTGTGGAGGGTGAGCACGCGCTCCGGATCGTGGAAGCACTTGACGTACTGATTGGGCTTTGTGTAGTTCTTGGCGCGGTGGACGTGCTGCAGCATGTGCATATACTTGGGGATGTCCTTGTGCCAGCCATGCTCGTGCTGCTGATCGTCCAGGAAGTACACGTTGCGGAAATTGTAGCTGTGGAAGCCGTCCGGCTTGAACTTGCGCGACTCCGGGCGCACCTTCGCCATCAGCTCTGACCAGAGGACGGCGTTGCCCTTGGGCATGATCACCTCGTCGATGTCCAGCAGGGCAATGTAGTCATACAGGTAGAGGTTCTTGTACAGGCAATCGTTGTAGGGTATCACCTCGTTCTGCCGCTTGTGGTTCGTCTTCTTCGTGAGGTACAGATGCTGGAAGCCGGGCACATTCGGCTGACCGCCGGGCAGTGTGAGTGGAATCACCTGCACCTTGCCCTCCTGCTCGTAGTGGCTGAGGACCTTGGTGATGTTCGGGTGGACCTGCAGATTGTAAAAGTAGATCTTGTCGGCGCCCAGTATGTTCAGCATCTCGATCCATTCGATGAGGCGCACACTCAGATCGTCGTAGAGGAAGTCCAGACCCTTGACGCACACCGCAAAGCCCTTCTTCTGGTCATCGGGCGGACGGTTGTAGATCACACGCAGATTGTTCGTGGCCGTGTCGCACTCCTTCTCCACCATCGACACGGAGCTGGGCACGACGCCGTGGAAGGGCTTGGGAATCTGGCAGGCAATCAGATACGGCTGGTAGATGCCCTGCTTGTAGTTGCCCCACTTGTTGTACCAAATGTACTTGTACTCGAACGTCTTCACGATGAACGGCTCCTTCTGGCCGTCGAACCAGAACTGGCAGTAGGTCTTCACCTTGGGCTCAATGCGATCGATCATGCCCAGTATCCGCACCGTGGGCCCCAGCAGCGAGGTGCGACGAATGTCGTAGTATGCCCCAAACAGCTGGAACGTCCCGTTCGTGGTGCGCAGCGTCTGCCAGTAGATGTTGTTGAACTCCAGCTCAAAGATCGACGGGTACTTGGCGCACGTCGACGACTTTTGCTGCAGAAAGTTCTTGTTCTTGCTCCAGTAGGCGATCGGCAGCGAGGGTATCCGCGACTCCACATCCCTCACCAGCTGATCATCGTCCATGGCTGCACAAGGAGACGCATTAGAATGGGAGGCTCTACCAAGAGGTTGCTCTTGAATGGTTGCTTGATGGCTTACCTGTGCGATTGTCCACCAGTATCTCGCTGGGATCAAAGTGATCCGTTGTGGTGGATGTCGTCTCCGCATACCGCATGTCCTTCTGCAGCAATATCCGGCCACTGAGCGGCACCTGCTGGTACTCCTGCGGCACCAGATTCGTGCCGTGCATCTTGAACAGGCCAATGATAACAAAGGACCACACGCACAGCGAGAACAGGATCTTCAGTATCACCTTGGAGTGGGCCATGGCTTCTGGTTGGCTTTTTTGTGTTCCTTCTCTAAATATATTCTCTCTTGCACTTTGCTGTGGGGCTTCACTGTAACGAGAAATCAAATGGGGATTTTGCCCCATTAAGTTAAGGACTTTTCGTGCAAATTATCTGTCGCACAGGACCCCGTCCCCTGATGGTCGTCGTCACTCATTTTTAAATATGGCGTCGGCTATTTCCGTTTCCGTTTGTTGGTTTTCCATGCCAACGCCCCAACCGGCCCGAAAATGTCAACTATGGAAAAGTGCGTGTAATATTTCTGCTGCTCCTTCAGGCAGGACAACAAGGCAGAAGGATGCTGCAGAGCAGCGGAGCAGAGGAAGGAGGAGTAGCATCAGCAGTGGGTGTCCTTTTGCCTAATGGAAAACAATCTAAAAATGCCACAGAAGCACTGGAGCGCTGTAGGTACGTGGCAGGTGGGCGCACATTGGGCTTTGTGGCAGCAAAAACTGTGACCCCAAACAGCCAGGAAGAAGCTCTGATGGGACGGGTGGGTCCTGCAGCCAATTAATCCTGGAATGTTTGCATGGATTCATTCGATATCTGCCTCAGATATTTTATTTTTCCTCTTTTATTTTAGCACTCTAAAGATGCAAAAGACAAGCAGAGAAGTTTGCGCTCCTCTCGCTTCCATTATTGCCACTGTGCCCCAAGGCCAGCATTTCATTTGCATTTCCCCCGCTCCTGTTTCCTTTTTCCCCTCATTCCACTCATTCCACTCATTCCACTCATTCCCTGTGGCCGTTGGTCAAGTTGTCTCTTCCATATCTCTGCCACCCCCCGCCCCCCTCTGGATTGTGTGTCATTCTGCCTGGTTTATGCCACCTCTGCCTCGACGATTACAAGCGGGTGGACTGCCTGTGCCCGTCTCCGTGCTCGTGCCCCAAAAGGACTCTGCAGCCACACTTCAGGCGACAATCTGTTTGTCTATCTGCTGCGCCTAGTGGCTGTATCTTGTATCTGCGTAGGTATCGCTGTGCGTGCGCATTACTCATCCAGCAGCAGCGACCATTGTGTCTCTGGCGTTGGGGCATTCGAGTATTTATGACATGGCCATCAACATGGGGACAGTGCATCCCTCTATGCTTAATTTTCCATCATTCAAGAATCCTTCATTAGAGCCCAGCCTTTCCTTTTCTTCCCTTTCCATCCATCCTTTATTCTCCATCATTTCTATTATTGTCTGTCGCAATTGTCGCTGGACACTGCCCACAGATGGAATTCCCATTACCCATTATCCACAGCGATGGAGACACTGATGACAGCGGGTTGCGATTGGATCCATCTCGCCTTTTGCTTTAAAGCAAATTGCATGTCCAGCTCATTTCCTGCTTTCCAGTGCAATCCTTCTGCTCAATCCTTGTGTAAACACCCACGTACCTCCCTGCCCTCGCTCAATCTTGCATTCAGATCGCTTTAGTTTGTTTTAGTTGAATCAAAAAGTTGTGTGTGCGTCGAGAGTTTTTCCTCAAGTGTTTTCCATTTCATTTGCATGCGCCGCAAAACTTTTGCACACACACACAAGCTGAGATACAAAGATACACTCTCGCACGGGCAGACGTTGCAACTGGCAAAGAAGCTTTCGACAGCAAAGGGTGATGCAGGGTGGCAGAGCAGGAGCACCTGTGGCGGCGGAGAGCAGACTGAGGTGTGTGGGAAGGAAATAGTTTATCATGAGCCAAGAGCTTGATTAACCCTCCCAAAGATCTCTTTGAAAAGATTCTGCTGCCGCTGAAATGCCACTCAAAACTCCACTTGGAGTCCACTTGTTGCCAGGCAGACACGAATGGATCATTTATCATCCGAGTTAGAGACTTTGACTTTGACTTTGACATGGACTTCGCTTTCGACTTCCATTTCACGTGTGTAGTTTCTCTGCTTGGGGATTTGTTCAAACAAAATTCTTCAACTGAAGTCACCGAAAAAGCGATTTGGGTCAATTTGCCATTAAGATACGCGTCATGGTTATGCGATTATTTGCTTCTTAGAGCCACAAGAACCAGAACCAAAGGTAGAGCCATCACAGTACGAGCCAGAGCTGAGTGGATCCAAAGACAGGGCCAACTAATCGTCGTTTGTTCTGGTTGTTCGTTTGCCTGCTGCCTGCTGCCTGCCGCCATTTGGATGTTAATTTGCTAGGCAAAACAGGTTCGATCTGTGAATGCCGGGGCGGGAATGTGTGTCGCACCCAGACCCCAGACCCCAGACCCCAAAACCACAGCGAGGCGATCGAGTGGCAAGCGGTACACAAATTTTAATGATGCCTTTGGTGGTGTTGCTGCTGCTGCTGCTGCTGCTATTCAGTGGATTCGGTGGCTACCAAAATGGGTCAATGAGCCTCAATGACTTTTACAATGACTCCAGCGACAGAGGCTGAGGCTGAGGCAGAGGTAGAGGTAGAGTCTCCCCCTACCCAAAATAGCAATTAAACGGAAAACACAGCTCAAAGATTGATTTGGGATTTTGGAATTGGCTTTGGATTCGCAGCGTGCATTGATCTCTTTCTTACTCTTTCGCTCTGTCTCTTTCTGGGCTTCAGTTCAATGATCTATGGGATTGCGGCTGGAGAGCGGCTAACGGATGGCACATTGAGCGGATGAATGTGCCACGTGCGGTGGATAACAGTTATAAACTGATTAAAGAACGCAGATCAGCCAAAAAGCAGCTACATTCGAGCTAGCAGCGAAACATCATTCAAAGTAGATGAATATTAATTAGAGAAACGGAGCAGACACGAGCTACAAGGAGCTACCAATTCTGATAGAGATATGTATCTGAAATACTTCTAGCTGAAACCACTTATCTTAAGCGAAGAATGGCACTCTAATTTCGTGGTCTTCAACTGGGAAATACCTTTAAAACAGCATTTAACTTTGTAACTTATCCAGAACCTATGCCGCAATGTTTGTGACACATTCAAAGCGGAAATATGTACCTTAAATATTCCTGTAAGTATTTTTAAAGTGGCTCAAAGTAATGTCTACATTCATGAGTTAGCTGAGTGAGCTGGAAATTCTGAGCTGATAGATAGACTCCAAGGTTTGCGGGCCTACGTAATATCTATAAATGCTGTCACATTCCGTTTACAATCATAACTCGTTTTCTGTGCGGATTGCCTTTTTTTTCGTGTGGCTTACTGATTGATTTATGCTCGTGGCATAAAGAGAGAAGCAGAGGTGGAGAGAGAGAGAGAGAGAGAGAGCTTCATTAGCATTCTATTTATAGACAAAACGGAGTTGTCTATTGTTTGAAGGGTGCACATGGACAGCACACTACAGGTGGCAGATACCATCTGGCCAAGATGAGTCACACACAAGCTGAGAGCAGCATCATCATTGGAAATCATCGTTCAATGCAAATCAGATACACGGAGAAATATCTGCGCCTTAAACTAAAATTCATTCACTGGCCTAGACAGACATTGGGGGAATCGGGAATCCATCCTCAGAGAGTGGAGCACTGACAGACCTGGGTTGAAATTAAATGAAATGGAATGGGAGTAGAGTAAAGTAGAAAGAATCTAAATGAGTGCCACACTAGAGCGTACAAAGTGGCACAAAGATCCGTTCGATTGCTCACACATCGCACAGCTACAGCTACAGCTACAGATACAAATGTGAAGACGAAGAGCAACCCAAAATAAAAGTCGAACGAACGCATTTAAAATGCACGAGAAGACGCAAAGTGGCGCAAATGAACTTAAGTATCTTTCCTGTGTGCGAGAGAGTATCTTGCCCCCCAGCCAACACCAACAAAATATGTGCCAGCATACATATCCCTCCATCTGTCTCTGTATCTGTGTATCTGTATCTCTGAAGCTGCCGCTGCCGCTGCCGCTGCGTGTGCGATTTTAATTCGCCTCACATCCTTTTATTTGCGTACGTGTGCGGCTGTATATCCCTCCCCCCCGTGCACCCCGTGCCCCCTGTACATTGTTGCTGCTCCTGCTGCTCCTGCTGCTCCTGCTGCTGCAACATCATCACGTGGCATGCCTGGCAGCCTCCTTCTTCTCAACGATTGATAGCAAAATGATTTCTCAATATGTCGCCTAAGTTGATTTTCCGCTGGATTTTTTTCACGTTTTCCGTTTCGGCTGGCAAATGAAATTTTGGTGCCCCATCACGTGCCCGTATCTCGCTCACAGATACATTTCCAAACAAAATTGAATTACAGATATTAAACGGAAAATTATGGATATATTTGCAATATTCCAAAGGGCAGACTAAAGCTTAAAGACGATTTTTGAGCGACATTTCCACCGCTCAGAGGTTCTGCAATGCATTAGTTTGAATAACTGGCAAATTAATTTAGTAATAGACCATTCTCAGACCATTTCGTATGAGCTCTGCTCTCACTCTCACTCTCACAGATATGTGCCATAAGTCAATGGGTTTACTCTACCCAAGGAAGCGTACCAGAAACGGCAGAGTCTTGGCAACAGAAATTTCTACCCCGAACCAACTTGGATCAGCCATGATGTCAAGGAATGCAATTAATAACTGTTCCTTATGCGGTGCTGATCGCGCTGCCCCACGTTGGTCCATTTGCCAAATGTTCCTGGCCAAGTTCTGGTCTGGAGGGCTATAGTTCGGGTGGGCAAGGAACATTTAAATTCAATTACGAGGCAAATGCCAAAAACTTGCGAATAATCGCACACACAAATGCACAGTTTTTGCACTGAAATGTATGGGAAGTCTGGGTGGACGAGAGAGGGCGGGGAGCAGTGGCTTAAAGGGGGGTTAAAGTGCTGGTTTACCCATTAACACAACCCTCAAATCCCCTCTGCGAGTCGTAATGCAAAAAGCACTCTGATTATTCGGATTATATTTTTCGCGTTGGGGCTATTTATGGCTTTAAGTGGTGCGCTCTGGCTGTGGCGGGGCACACAACTACACAACCACAACCACAACTACAGCTACAGCTACAGACATATACTCGCACATACAGCAAATGTATCTCATAAATTCAGCAAACCCCCGGCGACAGCAACAACAGCAACAAAAACAATCTGCAATTGTTGTCCGTGATTTAAAATTTATAACAATTAACAGGCAAACAGGCAAACAGGCAAACAGCCAAACAATGCGGCAAATTGTCAAAAGACATGAAACAGGACGGGCGATGGCCAGCCAATATGCAAATTGAAAAAAGGGAACCCAACACCCTGCTTGGCGCAGCACTTCTGTGTGCCGCAACATGCCGCAATACAAATGGGGCACTGGCCACACCTCCTGCCCGCGCTACTACGCCCACAAACGGAAGGCTCTTGTCCATCCACCGAAATGTTAATAATGCAAAATGAAGGAAACGGCAAACGGCCCAAAAGAACTGCGCCAGAACTCCAGACTCAAGGACATTCACGTTGCCCGCATCCTCAGGAAGGCAATGGCCGGCGTTGGTGGGTGGGTGCCTTCCATTGCTGCAACAGAAATCCATTCATGAACTGTACGAGGGCAATGTCAGGACGGCATATAATTCGAGGATTTAAAGATTAATCTTTACTATAATTTGAAGTAACAAAAAAACAAAACATTTTCGTTGATTCCACCCTTTGAAATCCTTTTGCTTATTTCTATGGCTTCTTGGCTCTAGCGATGTATTTTGGTATTATCTTTCATTCTTGAACCGCTTTTGCTTCCATATCTTACGTTTGCTAACGTTACGTGTGGGTGCAAATGCTGCTTCTGCGATAAGTGCCATCCACACAGCCACCACACAGACACGACACTGTGGATGCCCCTCCATAAGTGAGCGGCGTTCCACGTCGTACAATTGGATGCTGTAGAGCTGTAGAGCTGTGGAGCTGTGGTGCTGTTGGATGTATCTGCAAGATAGTTGACATTACGTGACTGCTGATAAATTACGTCAGCTGCTTACGTAACCGAATAATGCCAACAATTGCCACAGAGCCAGAGAGGGAGCGAGATGCAGAGGCAAAGGCGCACGACAATTCCTTGACCCACAGCACAACCCACCTCCCATATCTAGCTACCTCCCCTCACTCCTACTCCTCGTGGCAGTATCTGCATCTCGTTGTATCTGTAGCTGGCTGTGTGGCGCATCTTCTTCTCCGACCGCTGCTGCTGCTGCTGCTTCTTGTAACCCATTATGGCAATTTGCAAGGGGGAGCAGCATCTACTCCTCCACACAGACACACACATGTGGCAGTGGCAAACGCAATTGGGAAACAATTTCAACGAGAAGCAAATCAACGTTTAACCCGAGACAAAACCCCCCACCAAAAGCCCCACCAAAGTAAGTCAAAAGTTGGAACGTCGATGTTGGGAATACCCTACAAAATATCTGCATTCCTTTCGGCAACTCTTTAAAATATTTTTAGAGCTTTTCAGCAGGTACTGCTGCAGCTCTGCTTGGTCGATTCTGCCTACAATACATCTAGTTCGACATTACAATTCAAAGTTAACTTTATTAACTTTATTGCCATAAATCGGCACAAGATTTGCACTCTGATCTGTAATTATGTCGCCAACATGTGTCCCTTTCCCGTGTCTTTCTGTATTTTCACGCTTGCTAAGCGTCGTGCAGCAGTGCCCCTCGGTCTGAATTTGTTCTGGAGTTCTTCCTTTTCTATTTAATTGAATGATTTTAATCTTTCGAAGAACCCTTTCCATCGAGTTGGACTCTCTTTACCACAAAAGGGTATTTCATGTGCTGCAAAAGTGAAGGAAAAAAAAACGAAGAGAAGAAAAAACTTTGGGCCGCACGTTGTCTATAAATGCGACACGAAATGTTAAGCTTTGGCTGTTGCATGCCACTGAAATCAGTGCTGGGAACATGCAACATGCAGCACAGCAGCAGAAGCCCAAAGACTTGCGAGAGTCTGCCCTCTTATCTGGGGAGCAGTAAGGCAGGGAGAGGCAGGGAGAGAGCGAGTCGGCGACAGAGAGGAGTCTTTGTGGACTCTTGCGTATTTGATTTTCTTGTCACGTTCCAGCTAACAACATAAGGAAGCAGTCAAATGCTAGGCTGGTGGCATGGTGCCTGTCTGACAGTCGCCGAGTCCTCAGTCTGAGTTGTCCCCTGAGCGACAGTAGCTCCTTTTCTCCCTCCACACATAAGTGGCGGATAGGGGAGGAGGAGCAGTCTCAGAATCGCAGTACCGAGGTCTCTTTTGCGAGTTGTCAACGGCATTTGACTGACGCATACAGAAGGAGAGACACACACACTCAGAGAGATAGATGGATAGACAGACAGATTGACGGACGGACGGACGGACGGACGGACAGCAAGACGGGCGGACAGATGGCGTATCTGTAAGTTCTCGTCTCGCTGTCAGTCATTTGGGCTCTGACTTTGATTGCAATGCGCCAAGGATGCTGCTGCTGCTGCTGCTGCTGCTGCTTCTGCTGCATCCAGCGACAGTTCGTTCCACTGCAGGTTCCAGTGGCATCCATCGGTTCAACATGCAACGTGCAACGTGCAGCAGGCAACGCTTCAGCTAACATTTGCCGAAAATTGTCAAGACGCTGTGTGTGACATGCGGGAGAAATGATCAGGAGCAGTTCAGAGACTGCGGCATGGACTGGTGGTGGTGGGGCACTGGATGCATCACCTTCTCCCCATCTGGCTGCTGCTGCCGCTTAATGTGGCGCCAATAAGTCAATAGATTCCGTTCTTCTGCCGCAGGTGCTAAGCTCAAGCAGAGGGCAAAGGAAGGGTGGAGATTGGGAGTAATGTTCGCTATTGACGTGAGACAATTACGTGAACAAATTGTAAAATATTTGTCTGGCAAATCGGGAATGCAGCGAACGGTGGCAGCAGCAGCGCCAGTGGCAGTGGCAGTGGCAATGGCAGTGGCAGTGATAGCGACATGTGATAGGCGTCAACCGATTGCTTCGATTTTCGTTTACGATTACGCCACGTAAAAGCATGACGTTAAGGCACATTACGTGACGGTGCACCAGCAGATTGGCAGCACTCAAATTAAGCTAAAGGGTGGCGAAGGCGAAGGCAGCCTCCTGATTGCATAAATAAAATGCATTTTTGGCTGGGGCATGACAGGACACAGCGAGGACTAAGAGCTGTGCCACAGAATTCTGCAATGTTTTGCATGGGGGCCTGGTCCTGCCACTCGCAACCAACTCTCTGTGTGCCACATCTGGGCGTGAAGTTCAGTTCTTTTGAAGGTCCTGCAGAAGCGAGATCCTCCGCCAAAGTCCAGTTTCGGTTCATTTTTGGGTTTTCATCTTGGAAAAGTTTTTGTGGGCGAAGGCTGTTTTCGGGGTTTTCCATTTTCTTTCATTCTCGGTTGCGGTGCGGCCTCCGCTTTTACGCTGCTGCCTTTGTGCCCCGCATGACAGGCATGGGGCATGGGGTGGCACAAAAAGTGTGGCACAGCCACACCAGCAGTAAAGCAGCGAGAACCGACCTGCCGACTGCCGCCTGCCGACTGCCGCTTTCCATCCTTCCTTACCCGTGCAATTTGCATATGGAATTTATGCTTTTGATGGCAACGTGGCGATGCCCGGACCCAAAGTCAACTGCATGTTAATGAAAGCCGAATGCAAAAGCAACCAAAACAACCCATTCCATTCTATCCCATATCCGCAAGGCAGCAGCATCCCCTTGCCACCCATTTGCTGCGCCTTCGTCTACAAACAAACTGCTGCCACCATGCCCCACCATTTCAGCATTCTGCCTGACCCACGACGCGACTTTTTCCTGCCGCCATGCATATCTGAAAAGCGAAACAGAACAGAAAAGTTCAAGGATTGCAGCAGCCATCGTGTCGTGTCGTGAGCTTAGATTCTGTGCAGACAAACAGAGACGGTGGGTGTGGGGCAGGCACTCAGAAGTGAGGCTGGGATGAGCGTAAAGAATGCTGCACGGCTAATGGAATATATCTTTGAAAGCAAGCTACCTTCTGGTACTACTACCAGATGCAGCCCCAAGATGTCCAAGAATGCCTCAACTAAATGCATGTCATGTGCATGACAACGTGTTTTTATGAGGCAAACCATAGATGAGGCAATCTGCCCCGTGCCGAATGCCAGAGTTGAATGCATCGAGCAACGAACAATCCGAATCGAGAGCAAAAATCGAGTGGAGCTGCAGCAACATTTGACATTTCTTAGAACCTTTTTGCGGGCACTTGTGGCCTCTGAGACCTCAGTGTGTCCGCCACTCGCTGCCAGTGCCAATGTCCAGTGTACCAAAGTCCACTCCGTTGGCTTTTGGAGATCAAAGCAGAGCGCGGAGACCACCCACCCCCATGTTGGAGTGCTGGCTGGAGTTTTGCCTTTCACTTGCTGACTGGCTGCTGGCTGACTGGCTGACTGCCACATGCCGCTTGTGTTGTATGTATTTTGTGGCAGCCACAAAACCATGCAAAATGTAACGGGCCATGGAAGTCGTTCGTCACTTGACGACAAACATCCAATTAAGCTATAAAAATCTTAATTTAATTATTTGCCACACGAACAAAAAGAGGGGGCCAAGAACCCCAATGGATGTGCAGCTGAGAGAGCGAAAGAGAGAGAGGGAGTCGGAGTGCACTCCGGAGATGCGAGTAGGGAGATGGAGTCGTCTCGCAGCTGGGCTGCCATTCGGCGTTTTGCCATTCACAAATTGCATTCACATTCGCAGCAAGCTGGCCAACTCCAACTCCAACTCCAACTCCGATGACGACAACAAACGACAACGATTTATGGTGGCCGGTTTTTCTTCATTTAGGCTTCAGGCTTCAGGCTTCCAGCTCCCTGCTACCCAATCCAAAGACTGCCAGCCCCAGCCCCAGCCCCAGCCAGCAGCAAGAAGCAGTCGAGCGAGCGAGCAGCAGGCATGATGCATTTTTCATGAATTAGTTCGCATATAAAAGTCAAATGCAGTCCATGGACTGCCATGCCATGCCATTGGAGGCAGGAGACCAGCAGGAGGCGAGGCAACGCAAAGCAACGACTGGAGCTGGAGCTGGAGCTGTTTGCTGGAGGCGCATAAACAGATTTTGTGGCAGAAACACAGCCACAGAAACAAGAAACAACAAAGAAAAAAATGCAAGCAAGCGAGCGGCCGAGTGGAAGGAGGTATGAAGGGAGGTGGGCAGGGAAATTGAAAGGAATTTTTGGCGAGCCACCGAATCAGAGATGAACGCGTGAGAGCACGCAAAAAAATGAATGGAAAACTGCATAATAAAGTCATAACAAAAATCGTTTAAAAAATATACATAAATATAAATTCCCCTCAAAGTTACTTCTAACGCCAGAGCGTGATGAATCCATCTTTTGATTCAATTGCTGGAATATATTTTGAGAAGAACTCTTTGGGAATCAGCAGTAATATTTCGATGCATTTCGATGGCAAGAGCTCAAAATTGTCTTTGATCTTTGACCATGCTAACGCGGCCAATACTCGACTCGGTTCGTCGTGCAGCCACATTCCACGTGTGCAGAAGTCTGCGAAGAGCGAGTTGATTCACTGCTTAGGCATCGAAGTAACTCCTGCACCTGAAGGATTATCCCCAAACCCACAATCTGTGCGTGTCACGCACTCATCTCTGCAGCGGCGGCCACTGCCACTGGCACCTGCCCCTGTTGATTTTTCGCTGCATAATTAATGAAATGAAAGCAGCTTGCCCCATGCTCCCCATGCTCCCTCCTGCTTGGCCGCTGTCTAGGCCATAAATTAGATGATGCATGAGTCGAGTGTCGAGTGTCGAGTGTAAGTGTGTGTGCTCCTCGGGGCGCAGAACAATGGAGAGAGAGAGAGACCCAGGGAGATAATGTGCAGCCGATAATGCGAATGGGCCTCGGGCCACGTGGGGCAGGGTCAGCGGCTACAGCTCTACCCTTCCCCCACACCATAAAAAAGGCCAACGCCAACAGATAAAAGATAAAGAAATCAAAGAGAACGAAACACCGAAAAACTCTGACCCAAAAAAAGAACAAAACAAAACAACAGGCGGCAGGCAGTAGCAGGAGCAGTAGCAGGAGCAGGAGCAGGACCTGCCTGCACAACACAGACAGACAGAGAGCCGGCCAGGCAGTCCCATTCGAAAGGCTGCCGTCAGCGGTATGAAAACGAAACGTTTAATGCGAGCAGCAACAGCAGCAGCAGCAGCATGTTGGAGCTGTATGTGCCCCTCGTGCCCCCAACCCACCTTGATGTTGGCTATTGCTGTTGATGTCCGGATTGTTGCAGGATTGTTCATTGTGCATTGTGTGTGTGTAGGATGGATGCTTGTTGTTTTGGCAGCGGCAAGTTCGGGAGAGAGTGGACGATGTGTGTGCCCGTTGGCCATTTCATGGGCTGCCACTTGAGAGCAGGCGACCGGAAAGCAACGGACAGGAAAAGGGGCGGCTGGGCAAACGGGGAGTTCTGCTTGATTCTATGGCGGGGTTTTGCGGGCACAGTGAACGGAACATTGAGCAAGTTAAAATATAATAAATAGGCTTAAATATTATATAGATTTACTGTAGCCATTTTCTTTGTGTTTATCGCTGGAAAAGCAATCCACCCACAAAAGGGAACAGCCCAGAATTGGGTCCCAAAAAGAAAAACCAATGGAACTGCAGCAGACTCTGAGCCATGGCTCGTAGTGAGGGAACATTCCAAGCAATCAGCAGGGAAGCATTCTGTGCTTGTGAGATAATTCCCACAGATAAAATAAGTTACGGATACAGAAAGCACAGACAGCAAGTTGGCTGACCTTGGGTCTGTTTCCATCTACTCCAGATGGCATCTCTGGTATCTGATATCTCTGACATCTGTGATGGCTGGATAAGAACGCAGATAAGATTGTGTGTGACACTGTTCCAAGAATTACATAAAATATTCCAGCACACAAAAAGTGGCTTTGGACCATTTTGTCGCCTGCCAAGCACAAGGCGAATTCCTTTTTGTTTTTGTTTTTTTTTTTTTTTCTTTTTTTGCTAAGTCTGCCCGTCAGCAACATCGCTGCCATCGTGGACCCTGCCCTATATTGCTGTTTTCTGCTGTGAGGATTGGATTGGTTTTGGCGCTTGGACCATAAGCTCACCTGACGAATGCGCTCCAGCTCCACCTCGTTGGCAAATGGTGCTGATGCCAGATGCTGGTGACCAGAAGGGACGACAACGACACGGGCGGCTGAGGACTGCTCTTGCTGCTTCTTTGGATGCTGCTTCTGACGTGGCGGCTGCTGTGGCTGCAAGAAAATAATACAAAGGGAAAAGCGGTTCTTGAGAATGTGACTGTGTGACGGGGGATATCCAATGTAGACTTTATTTAAAAGGACTTAAAGCGTGGAGGCAGCAGACGGCTGCGTTGTGTGTGTCTTGGGTGAAGTTGCGAAAACATTGTCTCGGCTTTTGGCCTGGGGTTCTTGGTTTACCTCTAAGCTCATTAATTTTATTTGCCTCTTGTGGCGTTGGCAGTGGCAACAAACGGCTGTTCGTGTCTCGAGTGTTGCCCCACAAAAAGATACAAATTGAAAGAGCAGACACAGATGCGCAGATACATTTTGGGGGCGAGAGACAATCGCATATGCAAACGAGCATGGGGAATACACCTGAGACCGAGGTGTGCTGCTGCAAGACGCGCTACACGAGAGTTTACACATATTTTAAAGCTGAAGGACACATTCGATATTCCGTTGGTGCCCAGAGTTACTCACAGACACACGTGCCACAGATGCACAGATACACAGATGCACACTATCCATGTGTGGGAGGAGTGCTCCACACACGTGGAAATGTGGTTCAAGGTTTTTCCACTCTTTGTGACAAAAAGTGAAAGTGAATTATTAAAAACAATTGCAATTGCCGTGTATAAAAGTGCACACAGTGGGCATACGACATGCGACACGACTCGTACACGTCGTACAGAAAGTCAAGCTCCATCGATAATGGAACACACAGAGAGAGAGAGAGTCAGGTGGGAGTGGTGTGCTTCAGGGCACTTGTCGGCTATTTGGATGATAATTTTGGGAAATGTCGAGTAATCGGCCATTAACTAACTGTTATTGCTGCTATCTAAGGATTAATCCAACACGAGCATATCCATTCCAAAGATCTCTGTAATTTTTCTGTGCAATATCTGAGTGTAAGCTGAAAAGCTGTGGCTTCACTTCCATGAGAAGTGATTCCTTTGGAGGAGGGGCAGGGCTAAGCCTTCCTGCCTGCCTTCTGTCTGAAGCGGAACTGCGTGTTCTGCTTTGATTAATGATTGGTGGGACAAGTGCAACACTCCCAAAAAAACAAAAAACGCACACAGAAAAGCCAAAAGAATGTCAGTCAGCAGCAGCAGACGTGGTCCATGTTTTGGGTCCAAAAATGAAGTTGCTTGCGGGTCGCTGCTGCTGCTGCTGCTGCTGCTCTTTTGGCTTAAAGCGGGACAGCCAGAGAGGGCCATGATTTATGTCGTTTTATTTAATTTTAATTGAAAAACTTGCACTCGAGACGAGAACAACAGACAGACGCACACAGGACAAAGCAAAAATAAGACAACCCAAAAATGTTGCTGCACCAAAAAACCAAATATAATTAAAATGGCATTTAAAATGTTCTCCTCCAGGAGGATACAAGACTGGAAGGCACACCCATGGAGGCCATGGGACAAGGACAAGGACAAGGACATGGCCAAATGTGAATAAATGAATGTGAATGTGAATGTGAATAAATAAGAAGACAAAGGCAACGAGCCTTACGCCACAAAATGCAAATGGGGGAATGACTTTATTATTAAATGAAAGTATGGACAACACCCATAGAACTCTCTCCTCCTTCCTGTTTATATTCGGTTTTTCTTTTGGAAAATAATAAAAGATACTCTCTGGCACTTTCTGGGGCAGCAAATCATGTTGCCAACTGCATTCGGTGGCAGCGACCTCCGCTCATATAAATATACAATGTATGACAAATGCAAATGATGTTGCCACAGAGGGACGGGCCGGGGCGTTTATGAACTCCCAGAGTCCAAGGGTCCACAAGAGGCACAGGAGCAGCAGCAGCAGTCTATGAACAGCAGTCAACAGTCGGCAGTAGTCACAGGAGCAACTCCTGGGCCGCACAGTGGGGCACACACAAAGGAAAAACCTAGGTCTAAGAATTATGTACCACAGGAACTCCCTTTGATCGCTCTCTACAGAGCTTGCCACATTTCCCCACACAGTGCAACAACTGGTGCAAAAAATGGTAAAAAAACAACAAAAAAAACAGACACAAAACGCCATAAATCATGCGGCAACAACATACAAAAAACGCCATGTGTGTGTGCGTGTGGGTCTGTGTGGCACAGACAACAAGCAACAGAAATATGGCAACAAATGGGAAAACAAACAGCAACAAAAAAAGGTAGGCTGTTCGTTGGGTGTTGGCTGCATCGAAGCGGGGAATACACTTTGGAGCAATGGCAGCGAACGGTATTCTACTTCAAGGAATACTCGCTACTCGCTACTCGTTACTCGTTTATTCGTTACTTTTTATTGAAGAGCCAACGCAGATATGACTCGCTACTCGTGGATAAAGAGGATTTGTAGTTCAATTTACTCGTTACTCGTTACTCGTTGATCGTTAAGGACAAACTTCGAAGCACATGCTATACGTTACTCGCTACACGTTAACATATTTCAATACTCGCCAGGCTTTGATCAAAAGTCCAACTGTCCCCAACTTGCCCTCTCAATCGATACACCCGTTGTTACCGCAAGCGAGCGAAGTGTATGCCAAAAGTGAAATTAAATAACAGTAACAAGGTTAGTCGCTGCCCTCCCGCCGCTGCCGCTGCCGCTGCCGCTGCCACGGCTGGTGTCGCCGCGATAAGGTTGGCTGCAACCAATAAAGTCTGTTGCAAGTGGAACGTCGGAGGGTGCCGACGCTGGGCAAAGCATTTGAATGTGATGTGCAGCAAATTGAGTGCTTTTATTGCATTAACATAAATAAATTAGAATGCTGCATGCTTAATGCAGCCAGTTCCAGCATGTTGCTGACTCACTCACTCGCAGCAACAAACAGCAGCGGGCGCTGGAGGCGTTGGAGGCGGTGGAGGCGGCCGGCGCGTGCTGTCTGACCGTTGATCAGTGGCATGCGGCATGCATGTGCACATGTGAACTTGTTGCCAACAGCCAACAGCCAACAGGCAACATGCAACATGCAGAGAGCAATGCGGAAGTGCAATAATCCAGCAAAATGCAGGCATAAAGATCTCCAAGAGGAAATGAATGTTCCTATTCGAATCAGTAAAACTGTCACTGGCTTTCGCACTACGAAATGTGGCAGAGTCCAAGCCCATGCCCAATAATCTCATCTCTAATTTCAATTAAGCATTTCACAGTCCCAACTGTAGGCCCTAAAGGAAGTCGAATTTCCAGCACGTTTTCACATGCTGTTGCTGTTGCTGTTGCTGTTGCTGTTGCTGTTGCACGTGCCGCCGGTTGCATTCAAATGCAAAATACTCATGGACGCACATCAACCAAAAGTTAATATTGTGTGCCAGAGCCAGCCAGTGAGATTGAGGGGAGTGGGAGTGGCAGTGGGAGAAACTCTCAGCTGTCACAACTGCCTTGAGTTGTTGCTCTTCTGCTGCTGCTGCTGCTGTTGCTGTTGCTGCCACAGGTAACGCAACGTAACACAGGAGCAACATCCTCCATCGACAAAGGCGCCGCACCGCCTTGTCTTTGAAATGTGTGCGGAAATTGTAATGACAGCTGCTGCTGCTGCTCCCTGCCCTGATCGGCACTTGTGCTGTGGCTCCCGGCTGCCAAATTGTTGCCTTTGTGAGGGTCAGAAAGTTGTCGACAGCAGAAGCAGCAGTTGCAGTGGCAGAGTGACGCGGGGACACACAGGCGCAACGGCGCAACGGCGGCGACAGCCTGGCAAATGGCAAATGGCAAATGGCAAATGGCAAATGACAAAACAAAGCTTTAAGCTGTTATTCCTTTGCCGGGCCAGTGTCAATAAAATGAAATTAAAAACTTGAAATAAGACGAAGCCAGGGGACGCCAGTAGCCAGTAGAGGAAGCCAGGAAGCGCCAGGATGCAGGCCAAGGCGGGAGACAATTTAATCAAGCAACTGGCAAATGAATGCCGAGAGCAGCAGCAGCAGCAGCAGCAGCAGCACAGGACACTCCGGTTGGCTTGCAGCTAGGCAAAGCATTTGCATGCCACCAACCACAGCAGAAGCAACAAGCAACAACAGAAGCTGGAGCTGAACTTGCAACAGCAGCAGAGAAACAATCAAAAAGTTTTTAAAACAAATTAAAAGTTGACGACAACGAGAGGAAGAACTAAACTGCAATGGCTTTCACTTCCAATGCTGCCAGTTCCTTCGTTGCATTCTCCTGCAAATGCTCCACAAATTTATTATGCGGTCAATTGCAAAAAGGTCCGAAAAAGGTACCCAAACACACAGGCCACAACGAATGCCAGATGCCCTGCAGCAACATAGATTATCCGCAGGGGAAGAGTCTTTTCTGTCCTTTTCTGTCAAAAAATGGGAGACTGTGTGACAGCTTAAGCCTTCAGTAGCCACACGAAATATGAAAGTTTTCATGGCCCAGAGGTGTCGTCATTCAGGACTTATTCTTGAGGTTGGTTCGGCTCTCCCCCCCCCCCCCCCCCCCCTTTTCCCCCCCTAAAAAAAAAAAATTTNATTAGTTCAAGCTGTTAGCCCAGGAAAAACATCATTTTAAGCAGAACTTTGCTGCCGAAAGGAAACACTTGCCGAGCTCCCCGTTAATCATCATTCCAATTCAATGGCCCAGACATGAAGGAGAACTTGAAGCTGCAAAACTTACAACCTGCAGATGGGAAAACTTGCACCAAGAGGATTTGCTGCAATTGCAAACAAAACTTAAATCGAATTCTTGACAAATGATGCGCGAATTTTTCAGCAAGGCTGACTGCAGGATGGGGCCCAGGACTCAAGACTCTTTGCAACATCATTCACCTCTGGTCGATATTCATTTGCCTCTCACAAAAGTGCCATCAAAAGAGAGGGAGAGGGAGAGGGAGAGACTCCTCCAGAACAAGAAATAAATAAAAAGAGAAGAGAAGAGAGACTTGGTGGCCCACTCAAGGTTACATCTTGGTTCAATTACCTCTTCAGTTCTTTCTCTCTCTGCGTTCGTTGCTTGGCTTTTTCTTTATCTTTTTTTCAGCTTGTTCGTCTCTGTCTGTCTGCGTTTTGGTCAAAAAGGTTTGGGCCAAATTAGAAAACAAGAAGTCTTACGCTTGAGCGCACAGCCGAGGGTCTGGCTCTGACTCTGGCTCTGGATCTGCTGCTGCTGCTGCTGCTGCTGCTGCTGCTTGACGATGATGATAAGTGCGCCTGGCCACACTGCAAATGTAATTAGAGTGCAGCCGAATGCATCCGACAAGGGCGTGTGCATGGCGATGGCAAACAACTAAAATTATTTGATGGGATACGCCCCCCATCCGCCTGACATCGAAAGGTGCCTCAAAAGGTTGCAGAGTGTCTGTGCAACTGGAACGGTAAGTGGCAGTGGTTACGGGTGTGCACTTAAGACAACGATTTGCATGGCAAATTCTTTCATTTCTGGCCCAGCAGCAAGACTACCTACCCAATACAGACTTGAATGTAGCTCCAATCAATCGAGCAATTAACTGCCTGCAAAAGGAACACACTCCAGAGAGTGTCCATCAGTAAATTGAAATTGAAATTGAAATTGAAATTGAAATATTTAAATATTTACTCTTTTGAGCTCTTGCTCGCAAACGAAATGCTGATGTGAAATTGATTAACTGAAACCATAAATCCAAGATGGTAGTGCTACGAGTAGGTCCCAAAGTTAATTGCATATTTGGAATTTCTTTATTTTGGTTCGGTTGCTGGTTGCCACAAGCTGCCATTTCCAGTTACAATTCCATTGGCTGCCACCCACGCAGCAGGCAGGCGGCAGGCAGGCAGGCAGCAAACACTCTGCGTAATGAACAAACAGATGAAAGAATTGAAAATTCATGAGTTTCCCTTTGCAGCACCGAGAAAATCCACATGTGTGTGTGTGTGTGTGTGTGTGTGTCCGAACAGATTTGCAATAAATACGAAAATCCCCCAGGGTGTCGCCTGCACAGAACGAAAGGAGTTTCTCTGTGTGTGAATTTTGCTGTGCATCCACATAACCATAATCTGTCACAGATTGTTTGTCTCGTTCGTTTATTAGCCAGCCATGGGGCATGCTACACACAAGCCAGCCAAGCGCTGCGGTCATCGCTCTCTGCGAAAGTCTCTGGCATCGATCATCGATCAACGATCAACGATCAACGGAATCGCTTCGATTCCGGTTTCTGTGGAGATCTGCAGAGATCTGCAACAGATCTTCATTTGGTCTCTCGAATGCGAAAGCGTTGACCAAAAACCAAAGCACAAAATTGTCACACAACTTTCGCTCTCGCGTATGCCAAATGGCCATCCAAATCCGAGTTCGTTCCTCTTTTGGAGGCATCAAAATGTGGGGCATGGCTTGGCATGCAGTGTGGCAGGTTGGGAGCCATAAATTGCATAAATTGTACCTTTTGCCAAAAAGTTTTCTCATCCCCACCGGAGGCGGTGGCTCCGCATCAGTCATGTGAATATTTGACTTCATTTCGGAGTTGCACACACAAGGCACACACAAGCTGTGTGTGTGTGTGTGGCTTTGATTTCCATTCATTAGGAAAGTTCTGGGGCAACTCTTGTGATTGGCTTCTTTGGCTAAGAGAATCTCTCTCTCTCTCTCTCTCTCTCTCTCTGGCCCCTCACGGTGCTGCATCTTGGCAGGCGGAATAACTGATCCTGGGATCCTGCTGCAGAACAAACTTTTCCCCTTCAACAATGGGGCATCATTTGGTGCCGAGAACTTCCTCCCCAATCATGGAATGTATCCACTTGCATGGCCCCAACTTTTCATCTCCTCTAACGAATCATTTAAACTTTTGTTGTGACCAAAAGACACAGACCAGACGGCGGATGGAGCAGCGTGCAGCCAGCACCTAAGGAAAAAGCCATAGAGCATGTCCACACCCTCATACCTGCACCCTGCCCCATCCTCCTCTTCTTGTTCTGAGTGCACTTGAAAGTTTTCCCATGCGAAGAAAATCCCCGTCGAATGGACACCTGAGCAGGGCCCCAGCCATGGCTTGGGCTTGGGATTGGGTCAGTGGCAGTCCAATAGCTCCGATCGGTGGTTGCACCACACACATAAAACCTACTCTTCCCCATTGGTCTGTGGCAACGCCTTGAAGGGGCAGGTAGCTGCTGCGGGGCTCCACGCATCGCTGAGACAAGTTCAAGTTTAATAAACGCGCGATTCACGCGCTGTAAAAGTCGCCAGCAAAACGCTATACAACGGCATTTGATAGAAAAAATAAAAACACACACACACACACACACACACACACACACACACACACATGTTAACCAGCCAACTGACTTTGGCAACGTGTCAAGCCGGTTTCGGTATTCGGTTTCTCGCTCCAAAGATCTGCCCCTTCCAGCGCCAGCGCCAGGGGCAGCGCCAGCACATGGCCACCGGTCAACATTTTTGCAGCACGCGTCCCACTCCCATAGATACACAGATACAGATGCAAAACACTTATAGCGGAGCCCCCACAAGAAAGTAAGAAAAATGCGATCCGGTTTGGCTTTGGCTTTCAAGCGGGACGCTTGGGGGGGGGGGGGCTCAATAAAAATGTTAATTTGAAACTGTAACAAGTTCAACAACATCCGACAACAACTGGCAACTGGCAACTGGCGTTTCAACAACAAATTGCAGTTTCACCTTATAGATGCAGATGCAGATGCAGATAGAGTATCTGGCAGATGTAGCAATAGATATTCGCCAGATCTGACGAAGTTTAGGCATTAGAGACACCAAGAAATGTTGAGTAAAACTCAACTGATGCACGGAAAGTATTCAATTAAAAAGAATCTCTCCTAAATCAAATCAAATTCATTGACAAAAAATAGATGATTGCTTGAGGGTTTGCTTTTCTCCAACACTTTAGTGTAGCTTGATCATAAAACGATCAGATCCCTCCCGCCATCTTTGCGTCTTTGTTGCATAATTGCTTGGCATGTTTCGAGTTCACAATTTTCTGTGTAAAGCTCCCAACCGGACGCTCTGGCTTTGGCTCTTCAATCGCATTTACTTTTACAGTGTTTTAATTATCATTTCAGTTCAGTGTTCAATTGTCCATTTCCGCCTCCAGACGACAGACAGATTTATAAAACCATAGACCGAGACCAAAGTTCGAGAGCAAAACACACACACACACACACACACACACACGCACACACACAATGGGCTCGTAATAATAATCGCGGCGTTCATCATTTTCTTTGGCCATCCCATTGATTGCCGTTGCAGCGTTTCATTAAATAAATAAATATATAAAAATATCGTAACAGTTTTATTCATCATCATCATTGATGATTATGTGGCTGGCCAGCCTCATGTGCCAGCCCCTCGCCGTGTGTTTGTGTGTTTTCATAATCAATCAATTGAAATTGGAATTGGTAGCCAGAATGTGCGGCAGGCAGCAACAGTAAATGGAAAATCCATCACAGGAAGTTCCTTTGTTTTTCGATTGAAAAGAATAAAACATTGAAAATTACATCTCTGTGGGAATCTTCGTACTTCAAATGAAGTGGCACACTCCACACCGAAACTAAAGCCAATTTCCATGCCCAAAAACTGATGCCTTCTATGTCGGTAGACTTCCTGCTTCACTGGGAACAACCAAGTCCATGCCCAGGCGACATTCAATGCCTACAAATCGGTTGAAAAATTCCCCAAAAATGAAACCAAGTGCATGACTCAGATTAAGTTTCATTCGCGGCGAGGGGGAACAGAATCGCTTTAGAGTGGAATTTACGCTGGGGGAAATGATTCGCTTAAACCCGTCATCGTATTGAATCGAATCAAATCACATATGTACGTGGCTGTATGGCACAGAGCACGCATCAGCATCAGCATCAGCATCAACATCAGCATCGTATAAATCAGAAGCGACAGGCAGGAGGAGGAATTAGCATATCGTTAATGATGAATCAGAGTCCCCAGAGCAGCAGCGGCAGTCATTCATTCGATTGGCAGCCAAACGCATAAATGTGTTAATTTATATTCGATTAATTGTTAATTTTCGACCCAGCAATCAGTGACCACAAGCGACAGGCGAACGGCGAATAATACAAATAAAAATGTCGCACATTGATTTCCGCAAAACGTTTTATTCGGACAGACAGACAGACAGACAGACAGACAGACAGACGGGACAAAAGGTCTTGCAACTTTCACGCCATAAATTCAATGAGGGGGGTATCTGGCCAGAGACAATTCTAAAATTGAAATCTGTTTGTGGAATGCTGTTTGACGGCTGCCGTTTACTTGCCGCTACCCTGTAACAGAGGTTGCTGCAGTCAGCAAAAGCTGCAGGCCAAAAATGAATAGAAAGGTTCACAAAAATTACTGAACGAGAGGAAAGTGGCTATGCCTTTCGGAGGCATCTTACAGCAGGGCTTTGGGTCTTCAATTTGCTTTGTGAGTACAGGGTATCCCCCGTTGTAGACGTATCTTTTTGCCATCGTCTTGTTTAGTATTCTGTTAATTGGCTCGTAATTAGGCGACAGCAACGGCAACAACACGCACAAAAGTCAGTGACAAACGAATTGAATGTTGGAATCGAATGTTGAATCGCCGATTGGCGGGGCAATGGCATTGCTTTGGGGTTGGGGCTGGGAGCACGCCCCAAAGCGAATGTTTGTCAATGATTTATGTTTCGATTGCATAAAAGAGGAGACAAGTAGAGGCACGCCCGAGGGTCAGGATCGCCTGGAATTATGCACAGATGATGTTTGCCCATCAAAAATATCTCCCATATTTGCTGAGTTTTTCTGACACAAACACAAACACAAACAACACACACAAATACACACGAAATGCGCGGAAAGTGAAGGTGTTGGATGATGGTCAAAAGTTGTTGGTCAAAAGAAAAAACAAAAAACAGGGGGAATATCCACATACAACATTTATGTGGTAGGTTTGTCCGTATGAATGGCACACTATAATGAAGCATTTATGCAAATTCGTGACTGCTTTTCACACACCTCTCCGCTGTCATCCCATCCGCTCTCTTTGGCTGTCACTTTCCCATTGACGCAACCGCGGAGGAGAGAATTCAAAAGAGAGAATGTGCTGTTGACCCACCGCAAAAATGACAAAGCAGCCCGAAGCCCCTTCCTTTTGTGTATGCCACACAGACAAGACTAAACAAGACACTAAATTCAATTTTTAACACAGTCTCCACGACTGCAATCATCTTCAAAGAGAAAGGCCAAGAAAAATATGCATATTAGAGCACAAAAGGGGGCAAGGAGGTCTCTTACGAGTAAGAGTTCTGCAATGATCACTTCCCCTTACCAAAAGAGACATTAAATGACTCGAAAAGTATAAACTAGCAAAAGAATCTCCTCCGCATTGGGGCAAAAGTAATTCGGAATGGGAAACCTCCTGTAATGCTGAATAATTCCACACACAAGACTTTCGGTGTCTTTTCGTGGCTATGTTCTGCAAAGGAACTCAAGAGATTGAGAAAAAGAACTCTAAGGAACCGGAATCTACTCCTCGCAGAGCAGTATTCACTGTGGTAGTCGATTGCCCCCAATCTGAGAGTTATGTCAGCCTCTGTTGCTGTGTGTCTTTCTGTGTGTGTTTGTCTCTGATTTATGCAACTAATCTGTGGCACAACTTGTGCTTACAGTTACTCGTATTTGCCGTTGCAAGCGCACTTTCAACTTTGCTGCCACTTCAATCGTCAATTCTCTTTTGATTGCACTGCATTAAATTGATTTCTGCTGCTGCTGCTGCCATCTTTCATCTAACATCTTGCCCCATCATCATCCTCATCATCTGATGGCGTCTCGTCTTCTTCCTCATCTTTTTGTTGCCGCTTCCATTGCCGTGGCTGTTTCTTTTATTAGCGCGAATGATTGGCATTTCTTCTGAGTCTCTTCGTAACGATTCATTTCT